CTTTAGCTATATAATAGGAAGTTGAAACTAGTACATTAGCTATATAATAGGAAGTGGAAACTAGTACTTTAGCTATGTAATAGGAAGTGGAAACTTGTACATTAGCTATATAAAAGGAAGTGGGAGTTATTTCATTAGCTATACAATAGAAAATGGAAACTAGCGCTTTAGCTATATAATAGGAAGTGAAAACTGTCACATTAGCTATACAATAGGAAGTGGAAACTAGCACATTAGCTATATAATAGGAAGTGGAAGTTAGTTCATTAGCTATACAATAGGAAATGGAAACTAGCGCTTTAGCTATATAATAGGAAGTGGAAACTAGTACATTAGCTATATAAAAGGAAGTGGAAGTTAGTTCATTAACTATACAATAGGAAATGGAAACTAGCGCTTTAGCTATATAATAGGAAGTGGAAACTAGTACATTATCTATATAAAAGGAAGTGGAAGTTAGTTCATTAGCTATACAATAGGAAATGGAAACTAGCGCTTTAGCTATATAATAGGAAGTGTAAACTGGTACATTAGCTATATAAAAGGAAGTGGAAGTTAGTTCATTAGCTATAGAATAGGAAATGGAAACTAGTACTTTAGCTATGTAATAGGAAGTTGAAACTAGTACATTAGCTATATAATAGGAAGTTGAAACTAGTACATTAGCTATATAATAGGAAGTGGAAACTAGTACTTTAGCTATGTAATAGGAAGTTGAAACTAGTACATTAGCTATATAAAAGGAAGTGGAAGTTAGTTCATTAGCTATACAATAGGAAATGGAAACTAGCGCTTTAGCTATATAATAGGAAGTGTAAACTGGTACATTAGCTATATAAAAGGAAGTGGAAGTTAGTTCATTAGCTATAGAATAGGAAATGGAAACTAGTACTTTAGCTATATAATAGGAAGTTGAAACTAGTACTTTAGCTATATAATAGGAAGTGGAAACTAGTACTTTAGCTATGTAATAGGAAGTTGAAACTAGTACATTAGCTATATAAAAGGAAGTGGAAGTTAGTTCATTAGCTATACACTAGGAAATGGAAACTAGCGCTTTAGCTATATAATAGGAAGTTGAAACTAGTACATTAGCTATATAATAGGAAGTGGAAACTAGCATATTAGCTATACAATAGGAAGTTGAAACTAGTACATTAGCTATATAATATAGGAAGTTGAAACTAGTACTTTAGCTTTGTAATAGGAAGTGGAAACTAGTACATTAGCTATATAAAAGGAAGTGGAAGTTAGTTCATTAGCTATACAATAGGAAATGGAAACTAGCGCTTTAGCTATATAATAGGAAGTGAAAACTGTCACATTAGCTATACAATAGGAAGTGGAAACTAGCACATTAGCTATATAATAGGAAGTGGAAGTTAGTTCATTAGCTATACACTAGGAAATGGAAACTAGCGCTTTAGCTATATAATAGGAAGTGAAAACTAGCACATTAGCTATATACTGTAGAATACTTTATTTTCGCTTGGAATTTATTTTCGCTATTTTCGCTGAAGGGATGATTCCGTGAAAATAAAATCCAGCGAATATACCTTTTTTCCTATATTTGACATTAAGCTCATCAAAAATCAGTGAAAATAAATTCCATACAAAACGCCTAAAAAGCCTTTTCAGCGAAAATTAATTCCAGCGAAAATAAAGTATTCCACAGTAATAGGAAGTTGAAACTAGTATATTAGCTATACAATAGAAAGTTGAAACTAGTACATTAGCTATATAATAGGAAGTTGAAACTAGTACATTAGCTATACAATAGGAAGTGGAAACTAGTACATTAGCTATACAATAGGAAGTGGAAACTAGTACATTAGCTATACAATAGGAAGTTGAAACTAGCACATTAGCTATACAATAGGAAGTTGAAACTAGTACATGAGCTATACAATAGGAAGTGGAAACTAGTACATTAGCTATATAAAAGGAAGTGGAAGTTAGTTCATTAGCTATACAATAGGAAATGGAAACTAGCGCTTTAGCTATGTAATAGGAAGTGGAAACGAGTACATTAGCTATACAATAGGAAGTTGAAACTAGCACATTAGCTATACAATAGGAAGTTGAAACTAGTACATTAGCTATACAATAGGAAGTTGAAACTAGCACATTAGCTATACAATAGGAAGTTGAAACTAGTACATGAGCTATACAATAGGAAGTTGAAATTAGTACATTAGCTATACAATAGGAAGTTGAAACTAGTTCATTCATGTGAAAAATAAATAAACAAATTAGTTTTTACTGAATGTAATATCTTGTGTAATCGTTCACAAATGAACAATTACATAATAAATATTTATTATATATTCTGTGTTTTGTAGATCATTGAAAGTCGTCTTAAAGTGACGTTACCTGATGACTTACCGGCAGCATTAATGGATGGTGTTGTCCTATGTCATTTAGCAAATCATGTCAGACCACATGCTATATCAAGTATACATGTGCCTTCACCAGCAGTGGTAAGTTTAACAAACCAGTTTGTAATTCTCATAGCATTCAGGAATTCTGATATAGGTATAAAGAGTATAACAGAGACAGTCAGTCGATATCATCAAACTCAAGACAGTGACTGTCACAACAGATCTTTTATTTATTTAGCTTCTTTATTTCAAAAATTCACAGAATTGGAAATATTTCATAACATTTAGAGCCTTTAGCAAAGAATAGTGAATAGTGGTTTGCATTCATCCATTTTAACAAACTTACATGACATTCTATTTTGACTTTTTACAATTATTAGGTAAAGTTATAAAATGAAATGTTCAATGGAAATATCTCTCTTGCTACCTCAATAGACATAATAGGTTTCTGATGCATTCAAATTTAATTTTGTTTTGAAGGAATTTCCTTTAAATTTACTCTTTTTCATGTCCTCAAGTATCAGTTAAGCCGAATACAATAATAAAATATTATTTTTTGCTTTCTTATGTTTTCTCTTTATCAGCCTAAATTATCATTAGCTAAATGTAGAAGAAATGTTGAAAGCTTTGTTGATGCCTGTCGGA